GAGAGAGAGAGAGAGAGAGAGAGAGAGAGAGAGAGAGAGAGAGAGAGAGAAAGAGAGAGAGAGAGAGAGCGAGAGAGAGAGAGAGAGACCCAGAGGTGGGGGTACGGCGGTAAGCTATACACCTATTGCCAATGCGAACGCTCGCGTTGTCAGATGAATATAGTAGTATTTTATGATATCGACCGCGCGCGTCCGAATCTGTTTGACTCATTTTGAATGGTTTTGCATTTCATAGCAGGCAAATATTCAATGGTTTTATATGTGAGCGAGAGAGAGAGAGAGGCGCCATATACTAAAAAGAAAGTATAGTAGTTGTGGGGTGAGGTGACTGTGGACTATAGAGTGATCGGGGAGAGAGGAAGCTGACGTAGGAGATGGATATTGATGGCGGTTTAACAAAATAAATCGGTTATATAGATGATATAGGAGTAGATTAGCATAGATAATTACTCGATAAACCTTTTTCATCATCCCTGTAGTGTATTCCATACTAACCTCATCACTCAGCGTGCAGCTCCCCCCTATATGACTCTAATGTCGATTTTTAACATTTAAGAGAGACGTGTGTTATGTTCACGCGAAAAACAAGGTTCACGAGTTTTATCAACAACAGGGTGATAATTCGTAGCTCGTTCATTGTGTTGCGAATATACAATGGCAGTTCATTCTATTATTAGCGATGAATTACCCAATTTTCACGTCAAGTTATATTTCTACGCAACAGTCTTCTTTTGAAATATTTATATTGATTATTTTCTTTTAGTAAACACGCTTGGGAATAAATTCAAGCTGATACGACCATCTCATGATTTATATCTGCAAATACTATAAAAGTCACTATCCAGTTTACATCTATATATTACGTATATTAAGAAATGGATAAAGTAAAAAAAACAAGAGGACGAGAAAGAAGAGAAAAATTATGAAGAGAAGCAAAAGGAACATCAAGCCGAAGAGAAAAATGGAAAAGCATAAGAAAAATACCTTTAACGCCGTTACAAAACTTTCTACGGAAAAGAAAAAAAGAGATAAAGAAGCATGAAAAAGAACGTGAACAAAAGATAATAGGAGCGCGTAGAAAGGAGGAAGACATGGAACGGTAACGATAACACAATAATAAAACTTCGATAAAAAAAAACATGGAAGCGAGACGAGAAGGTGGAAGGGAGAATGACAGTTGAAATGATGAGTGACCATTAGATGATGATGAAACATAAATACTCTCTCATATATTGTTCTAGGCGTCGATTCTCGGAGGAAAGGTTTGCGTTCGCCGACTTCTTCGAAAACCGAATGCGAAGTGACATTACGTGGCCCCGTGTGGCATATTGCGCGGTGTCGGAGCAGCGTGGGCGCGGTGTGGGGGAGGACATACACGGATATTTATCGAAACTATTACAGCGACATACAAACTACACGATGTGTTCTTAATTTGGCCAAATCGTCTAAGACGCATGGACGTTTCTGCGAGTAGTCTTATTCTTCAAGTGAACAAGAGATTATTTTGTCTTTAATTCCACTTCACGTAATGTGCAAGGTGAATTCCGTTGCCATGTCTACGGTTCCAGCTCGGGCTATGGTACTGTGCGTCTCAGCTTTTAACATCATCAACAAATGCCATTAACGTGTATTCCTCGTTGCTTTTAATGCCTTCGTGCGAGACAAGGAACAACGGGTGTCTAACTTATAGAGGCAGTTTCAATAACTATGAAACCTTGCCGCTAGCGCGTTCGCTCATCGTCTTCACGGGAATATTAATTAGCGACGAATAAATTCACGACGCAGAAGCCAAGACTAACTCCAACGAGATGCGCGATCAGCGTTGTCTCGCTTTGCGAGGTTGGAGGTTTTACCCGTCAAAACTGCGTCCGCATAAAAACAGGAAACGCTTCGTGTGTAGGGAGAATTAGCGTAAAACATTGTGACTGGCCGTCAGTCACGGGGGAAAATGTGCTTGCATTTCTGCTAATTTAAAAGCTTTGCCGATGCGATTCTACTAAGGAAACGGTAGGATGGCTCTGCCTTTCTCTTTCTCTTTCTCTCTCTCTCTCTCTCTCTCTCTCTCGTCTCTTTCTCTCTCTCTCGTCTCTCTCTCTCGTCTTCGCTCTCGCTCTCGCGTCCTCGCTCTCTCTCTTCTCCTCTCTCTCTCTCTCTCTCTCTCTCTCTCTCCCTCCCCTCTCTCTCTCTCTTTCTTTCTGTCTCTCTCTCTATCTTTCTTTCTGTCTCTCCCTCTCTCTCTCCCTCTCTGTCTCTCTGTCTCTCTATTTCTCTCTCTCTCTCTGTCGGATTGACAGACAGAGGGACAGACGGGTGGAACGATGGATCGATCGATGGCTAGATGAATCGATGGATCGATAAATAGATTAATGGTCGTATCGATGAATAAATTAATTTATCCATTTAATTATGGATGAAAGATGTATGGGCGGACAGGCCAGAAAATGTTGCATTGACATGACGAGACTGAGCGATTCATCCCTAATTAGATTATATTAAAGTCGTTTGCATTATAAATAGATGTTAAATAATCTTATCGGCACATTCTCATTAATTCCTAATCATTGTACGGCATTAACGAAGCGAGAGCCTAACTTAAGTAAAAATCTAATTTACATCGGGCCTACACAGGCATTTTTCTAGTAGCCTTAGTCAGGCTGATAGGGTCCTGATATGTCCCCCAGGGTACTGCCGGAACGTACCCTGGTAACTATCTAGCTGATATGGTTAGGGTTAGTGTTAGGGTTAGGGTTAGAGTTAGGGTTAGGGTTAGGGTTAGGGTTAGAGTTAGGGTTAGGGTTAGTGTTAGGGTTAGGGTTAGAGTTAGGGTTAGGGTTAGGGAGTAGGCGTAGGCGACTCCCTAGACTGGTTAGTGGAGTAGGCGAGGTACGGTCCGGTATATTAGATAGTAGTATTTAGTACCAGAGTACGTTCCGGCAGTACCCTGGGGGACATAGACCCTATCAGCCTTAGTCAGTCGCGGTTGCATATTGATCAGAAGCCGGCCCTCTGATGTTAATAAGATGTTTCAAAGTAAACCGAACAACTCGCTACCCTAGAGTGAAGGCTCAGATAATGTCTCTGAAGTTAATACTGGCGGATCTTCGCGAGGCATCAGTGCGATTCGTGGGCATTATAATTGATTGTTCGAACGTTGATCGACTCTTCACTGGTAGACGTCGATTGGCGCAAATAACCCGTCGCCGTTGAAAGGGATGAGGGGGAGAGGGGGGGGGGCAACTTGCACCTGCCGCCGGTCGTCATCCGCCCCGGCTATATATATATATATATATATATATATATATATATATATATATACGGCTATATTCGTCCTATATAGCTGACAAGGATGCGCTGCATACATAATTGATGTCGTCGCCTCCCGCTGTGAATATTTGAATCGTGACTGTGGTGATGATTGCACGCTCCACCATCGACTCAAAGAGACCATTTTCTTTCCACGTGAGAGATTCATATATCATTCTATTTCTAAACGTGCACCGGAGGGCCCGATCTACATGAGTAAGCAAGCTTCGATATATCAAAGCTATACCGTAGCAGTAATTTCATTATGCTCCTATACGTTCTCCGTCGACTGCGATCAACTTCACAATTGATTACATTAGTAATGCTGTGGCGACAGCGCATGCGCACACAGCGAGTATGATTTCACGCTATCGCGCTGGGGAAAAAAACCCGCGTCAATACTTGTCGGGATTTCTCGTCTTTCATGCGTAAGTCTGCGAACGAGTGATAACTAAGGAGGCGTCAGTAACGACGGGTACCCTAGACTGATTAGCCATACATCCCTGTACTTCATTAGCTACCCATCATTCGTCATCGCTATTTACATAGCGTATCTCTGATCTCTCTCGTCGCGCTTCTCTGCTCGGCTTTCCATGCGGTGGTTTCTTTCTGCTCGTCGTCTTCTTTACTGATTATATTCATCCGTTCGCGTTTTGAGTTTGCTCTTTTTATTTTTGCTTCTCCTTACTCCGGGTATAGCGCACTATGCGCACGCGTAAGAAACTAAGTATAGGGTGGAAAATTCACTAAAATAACGTCGAGTTGGCTGTTTCGTGCCTTACCCACGCGTCTAACCTACTATATTATCAGGAGTGTATAATATAGATATATTATAACTATATATTATATCTATACTATACACTCCTATATATATTACACGTCTACACGTCTATATTATACACTTTTAACACGATCAGGTCTATATTATATTCAACCATTTCTTATATATTTTCTCGATCATCTCTATATTTATAATCTTCTTCAAGCATTTCTTATATCTCAACACGTCTACACGTCTATGTTATACACTCCTGATACTATCAGGTCTGTACTATATTGAACCATTTGTTCTCGTTGCAGGAAGGAAAGTTTTCCGTCCAGTCTAAAGTCGTGCATCAGCCCGGGTGTCCGGGGCACGGCCACCCGCCTGTTAACAATTCCGTGAACCAGCGCCACGTAGCGGTACCGAACGCAAACGCTCACCAGGACTTGCATCCGGTCGACATTGAGCTAGGCGACATCACACCCTACCAGCACGGGCGCGACTACTGCTGCTGCGGACGTCTGTCGCGCTCTCGGAGCGTGACGGCGAGCGACATCGATAAATACAGTCGCTTCCTCTTCCCGCTGATCTACACGATATTCAACGCTCTCTTCTGGACCGTGCAGCTACAGAAGGCGGCCGCCGTGCTGGAGAAACATGACGGACCGAGCGAAGACACGGAGAGTTGAGTGTTTTCGTGCGCCGCCAAGCGTTTTTACGTTCGGTGCGAATGTTATCTCGTATGTCGTATATATACCGTGTGTTAAAGTATTCGCCGCTATAAATTTAAATGGGGGGAGGGAGGGGAGGAAGAGAGGGAGGGAAGGGAGGGGAGGGAGGTAGGGTGGGGTGCTTTTTGTTTCGGTTTTCGTCTGCGCGGAATGCGTTGTAGAGGGCGCGACAGTGCTCGCGGATGTTCGAGTGAACGCGCCATGATCCGACGGCCATGTTTTCGTTGTGCCGCTATCACAGAAAACGCGAAAAGAAATTTAAGATGGATTTAGCAAACTTTTTGCTTAATGGAATTTTTTTTTTTATTCGGCTTAGAGTAAACGCAATTTCGTTCAATTACTGGCTATATGTTTGCATGATAATGTGTAAATAGATCAAAACCAGAAGACGCGAACGCGGTTTTAGCGTCGAGGTTGCAACGCGCTCACGTGACGTGAATTTATAATGATCTCAACACTTGTAGTTTGCGAACAGCCCTGGAAGCGCGCGCATCACACCAATGTATATTACAACTGGCTAACGTGTAAATTATATATATGTCGATCACAGTGCTTATAACACGAAAACACTCGTATACTGGTTACTTACAAAGATAACACACACCTACATTATTCAGCTATGTATACGGTGAACTACGGTAGTCGGTTGTGCGCCTTATTTGAGGTTAATAGTTGTGAGATTGTCACGCAACAACAAAACCATCATATTTTAGTAAGTTCTATCTCAACCGCACATATTTTAGTAAGACGATACACTGTATACATACACAGTACTATTGATAATTGTCATTTGCCGCGAGTAACGCATGCCTACGATGGCATACATTGTTCTACTATAATATTATCAGGAGAATACGATACGCGGGTGTACATCGTACCCTCTTGATAATATCATGTGTTGTTCATACATTGTGATCTACTTGCCCTGCATCGTTTGCCAATATAGCTGATTGCGATAGTTGCAAAGCATCCGCAATAGTACGCCTTTATACCGAAAGATGGCGTTAGTAACAACGCGCTTGTCGTTCATAGGTTTAGCCGCACGTGCGACAGACAGGAGTTACTGTCGATAATGAAAAAAATCGTAATCATACGATTATGATGTGAGAACCTCGCGTCTGACGCGCATGGTCTATACAAGCAAAATTTTATTCCTCGTGGTTGAACATTTCGTTTGACAACTGTGATAGTATAGTTGACATACAGGCAACGACTGCACCCGTGTTATGTGTAATTAGCCTAATGAGAATTGTATCATAAGGACGAGCTGTGGGGTTGATCGTGATTGTATAATACAGGACCGATTCATTAACATTTTAAGAGTTAGTGTTAATATATACATGTTGATGAACATTATCGTTATAATTATAGCCGAACGAATATAGCATACGCGCTTGTAGGGACAGTGTTTTGTTTAGGGCTTTTTTCACTACTCGTCCGACAATCAGCTTTTATGTAAACGTGCGTAATGTATAATTAATCTCTATGTTCAAACGTACAAGCCGGTGTTTCAATGGAGCCACACCTTCCAGCTACATATCCCCCTAACTACCCAGCTACCTCCCCTCACCCTAACCCCACATAATCCCCCCCCCTCTTCCCCACAGAGCAAACATTAATTGTATGCTCTTTTTAAATTCTTATTATAGATTCTAGGTGTCGGGCGTGAGTTACTTAGATCGTGTTCTGAATCGGTTCTCGCATCGTGCGGGTCCGATTGCAATACAATACTCTTCCAATAGTTGAACGTTACTTGTGGGTGACTTTCGATACGCCACTTCGTCAGTATTTGAGTGTTCAACGTGAAATATCGACATTAGGGTAGGCCCAGCATTCATCTCAACTATAGTTTCTTTTTGTATTCGTTAAATGATATCGTTTCGATAGCCATTTGTGTGATGCGTAAATGCACGATCTGCTAAACCTATCGTTATTACTATGGACATCATACAACGAAATGTTATCTAAGTATTGAAATATACGCACGTCACATGTCGGCACTACGATTCGAAGAATGGAAAAGAAGGTGAAAGGAAAAGAAAGAGGGGAATAATGTAAAGCGAATAATGCTTATACCTGATGGTAGCGAGGGATTCTGGTTAGTCACGTTTTTCCGTGTTATACCACATACTGAATGTACCATTTTCAAAATCTGTTATTCTGTATAATACAGATATTACTGTATAGTAGAGAACGCAACTTGAGAGGTAAACGATGTGAAGAGATGCAAGACGGTACTTGAGACTGTGAATGGTATATGAGTTCAAAAACGTGTTGTAAATACTATTAATTCGCATAATAAATTATCCAGATAATATTTGTAAATTACACTTTTTTTATTTGGCATGATAGGAACTCAATATTAGCAGAAATGTTGGTATTATTGCTTATAATAATCCAGTATTGTCTTGTGTTTGTGACATATCGCCATAGGTCAGTGACGTAGTAGCCCTTGTGAAAATGTCATTAACCATGTCCGTAACAAAACTGCATTCAACTGAAATGTGACATCATCGTAATAGTAACGATTAAATGTAGGAGCATATATTATAATAAACTCTGTAGAAATCATTTTGACATCTTGTAGGAGCTGGACATAAAACACTTTGGGTGCTGGTGTATTTTTATTCTAATTTATCGGGCCGAAATATAAACACATTATCTATGCCAGGAATTGCGATAAACACAGTAAAGCAATATTTGTTAGTAGGTAACTGGTATTCATAGGCAGCATCCATGAACAGATTTTTTTTTACTATTATTTCAGTTTTGTTTATTTTATATTTACAAATTTCCGTCGGTTTCATGTACACAACGAGGAATATTCATCGTCAAAGCTAAATGATATATTGACATGCTACAGGCGTAAATTATATATAATATATTCATACATTTATACTACAAAAAAACGAACTTTGTCTAGGCATTCCGCCATTTATTGATTTCGGACTCCCAAACTTGCCACGCTGTTAGTTTATCACCCTGTTGGTGTAGTAAGCACATTTAAAAGTCTACACTAAAAACTAATATTTTAATGCAAGTAATATATTACAAGTATGTTGTTAAACATGGCGGTTGTTATCGTAACGCGCAATGTATGTTGGGATTCTGCATCTCATGTTCTGCGATAGCGCCTGTGTACGTGCATCGGCAGTGCGTTACGCCAAAAATGGCTTCGTCTTTGATCTCAGCCGTTAGCTGGTGTTTCTCGATTGTCAGCGAGTCAGTTGTCCATTTGAGAGTGCTGGTGAAGCACTGTCAACTGCGTGTATACTGTGTACGCTGTTTACTGCATAAGTACTGTATACGCTGTTTACTGCATAAGTACTGTATACGCAGTTAATATAATATGTAAGTACTCTTTACAACTTGGTATATTCTTTACTGTCATTTTCAGGCATTCAGCAGGTGAAGTATAGATAGAAGGTGCATTAAGTATAACTTTTATACGGCTTTTGATATGCCATAGACGGCAATTACATTAAATCTTACAAATCAATTAGAATCAAGTAAATATATGTGGCTGAATTTGCTCTAAAAGTTGTTTCTACGCGTTTTTTTCCGAGCAACGCCGGGTACCAGCTAGTACATTCATACATAATACAAATTCAAGATAGGCCACCCCCGTAAAACCCATCGCGTTGAAAGCGCGTACCGGCAAGACCATGCAGCGACACCTATGGGGCGAATAAATCACAAAGTTAACACGCATATCATCACGAGGAAATTGATGAAGCCGGTTCATAGCTGTGATGCGATCGATGATCTATAATGTTTTTTAAATACAGCGACGTAAACTATTGTGCGCTATATCGTCTGTTACTTTACAATTCTTTATTCATATCTGATCTTTTATCGCGTGCTATTATTATAATTGCCGAGTCACGTTTACATATTATCAATACTTAGTAGTCGCTCCAAACCGACATAATTTTATATCTAAAAAAAAAAGAAAAACACAAATATTAAACATGTACACAAACAATTCCATATATTAGTTATGAGAACAAATCGCGGTATATTTATTCGTCCGTAGAAGTTCTACAGTGGCCTGATCATATTTAATGAGTGTGTGATAAAATTGTGAGATAAAATTGTGAGATAAAATTGTGAGATAAAATTATTTATATTCTGTAATAGCTCTGCGTCTAGTCAACACCAACCGGTTTTGACTTTTTTGCCTTGTTGTGCATGCACTGCAACTTTTTAAGTATTTTCAATAAATTTGCGCCATACTAATTCAAGCTTGCTGCTTATGGACGCCATCTATTGGTGAATTCCACTTAAATAGTGTGTGGACGGAACGTCAGTTCTCACTAGAGGTCGCTGTACACTTATCATTGGTAGATTGGTGCTCCAGGGAAAATGAATTTGAAGACGTAGAGTTACGTAGTAAATAAGTGGTGATGGCTAATATGTTATTAATTTGTGACATCCTGTAGCGGTTAATTCACTATTGATGTTAACAGCGGACTTTTATATTGAGGGATTGAATGTAAAATTGTATTGTTATTATGAAACGCAGTTAGTTTCATCCATCGGGGTTTTTTAATATTTTTTGCAAAAGAAATCAATAATATATTAGCACATACTTTTGAGTGTGTCAAACGTTCACTTGATGACTACTCTTCGCAATTATATAGTTTTACTGAGCTTGCATTACCATGTTAGGAACCGATTTGAATGTTGCGCTATGCTGGTATTATACAATCGCTTTCGAATGTTCAATAACGATAGGACTGTGTTATTGTTTCATATTGTATCGTGTTGTATCATTTTGTTTTATCACGCTGTATGTGCATGAATATGGAATATATTGTAATCATTAGAAATCGGGAAGTAAATGAAAATTTACTAGTAATCCTACTATTCTTTCTGGTGCGTTTTGGTCTACAGGGTACACCGTTGTTTTTTTATACGTTACAACCTATATGCAGCGAAACAATTGGTCTCAAGGTTGTAGGTTTTGATACGTAACGGTAAACTGCCCTGCGTGCGAAATGTCCCTATCAAACTACCCACGTGCGATTATCCGGAACGAATAAACTTCTGTTATTATTTTACGAGAACGTAGAATATTAATGTCAATATTATGAATTTAGAGTGAGGAAATGGTGTACGAATGTGAAACAGTTGAAGAAATATATATGCCTTGAGACTGGTGCCTGGGGGAGGCCGGTGAGAACGAGGGGTGGTTTGCAAACTAGGTTCATTTGTTCGATATTTTGCATGTAATTGGTGTTTCAAATCACGCCTCAACGCAATCAAACCTAGCGTTTCTTCGCATAAAACCCGGTTTTTATAGATTTGTCTGTAACTCAGAGACCCGTTGTCAGAAACAACATTAATCTTAACATTGACTTTTTTCTCTTAGACCGTCGACAGAAACGCTGCGACGTTACCTGAATGAAAAATCGTAGCAGCTTTCCTGATAACAATACGAAACAAAACGCTGTCGACGGTCAACGAAAAAAAATGTAAGTGTTAAGACTAACGTTAAGACTAATTTTGTTTCTGAAAACGGGCTCCAAAACTAAACATAAATATACGCTCATCGTCGCGTTCATAATCTCAACGCGAAGAGAGGTGATAGAAAGTTTGTGGCGCGATGATAATTATTTGCAGAGATTTACATAACGATACTGATTATTATTGTTGTTGTTTTTATTTACTAACATTCTTCATACTTGTAAATAACAATTGAATCGTTTTTATACAAATGTATATAGTAGATAATAACGAAATCTGCGCGCTTGCAGCCGTAGCAAGCGAAACAATTTCACTCAATATTTGTAGTGGACACAATCTGCCGCCGAACACCGAGAGATGTGTAAGCCTAGATCTCGTTTCCATACTTACACATGCGCTCTCTGTCTATCCACACTCACCAAACGATGTAATCGCAACAACGTCATTCGCCCAGTCATTACGAGTGCGACGGCACATACCAGTAATCCTCAACACAAAGGAACACGAGTAACAAAGAAGTAGCAAATATTTAACGCCGGCGCCTTTCACGCCTATTACATTTTGATCGCGCACGCAACCAACGCATTACTTCCATCCTGTCAGAGTTCCCCCCTTTTCCAGTCAGCATTAACGTAGCGTCAACTAGATTTAGTAGTATACCCGCCCGCTTTGAAGTGAACGCAAAAAATGGTTAACAGCCTATACAGCATGTGTATCGATCTTTTACATGTTGAATATAGGCAGTCCATTTATCGCAAATATGCACAAAAATGCATTCGATAACCACGCATTATCGTAGCGTGAGGCACGTTCGTTTCGAGTGTGAGCTTGCGCGCACGTTTCCCCACGCCGTAAATCACCCGTAGAAAACATAAACGGATTTAATGAAAATTAAATCTCGGGTTCAACTTGATTTATTTACATCGTCCTTTGGCAAGATTCTGGCGCGGTAGCGGTCGCTGTCTCGCCTTCTAATTGACATCATTTTCAAACTTGAAGGTGTTAGCAATTATCTGCCAGCATTTCAACAGTAATTCGCGCCTAGCAGAAATCTGATAGTAATTTCTCGTCGTACCTGATCAACACCGCGGCGTATCACAAAACACAGTAGCTTGATTGCATGCGAAATTAATTGCTATTTATGTATACAACGATAAGTTGTTCATTATTAAACTGCAAATTTAGTAAATATGTCGCAAGTAAATCGCTCGCTTTGAAATTAAAAACCGCGGCGACGTGATAATTCACACATCGTACAAGTCATTGGTTGACCTTCGTTGACTTTCCTCGTACTTGTGGTATATCGATTCCTTCATATTTCTAGTTGCTCCCTATCACTTAATGCATACGCGGGCGAAGATAGCGATCGAACGAGTTATCCCGTAGTGAATTATTACAAAAAAACGTCATTTTCTAGGCGTACGGTAAAAGTGCGTAACTTGTCGTGACGTTTAACGCGCTTAGTACACACACATACACACGCACACGCACGCACGCACGCACACACGTCTGTCTCTCCCAGCGTCCATTGTCATATGAACAAGTAATAGCACCAGTAGATGGCGTTGAAGATAATGAACGCCGTCGGGAACACAAGCCGCGAGTACTTGTCGATGATATTCACGTCCCTTATTTTTGGAAGTGCCATCCTTATTTGCCTCGCTCTGCTCTTCAAATTCTGGAGAACTTTCCGACGTTGCTGAGGTCGCTTCTGATTCGGTCGACCGACGTAACCATAGCGATGACCCGGGCTCGTCATTCGAAAAGCAGGGGTCATTCGGTCTGCATCAGAGTACTTATTTTGTCGATTTCGCAGGCTGAGAATAGGTGACATGCGGAGTTCGTCCGTCTCGCCTTCGTTCTGTAATAAAAGCAACGTACAAATTCAATACTGATCTCTGAGACGCCTTGCGCTGTATCGTGGCACGGGTTGTGGCAAACCACTATATGAAGTAAACTCTATATTAAACTGATAAAGCTGATAAAGCTGGCGTTAGCAGCCAGGGCGCGTGTATCGTAAAATTAATGTTGAGGGTGGCCGTTATATTATTATGTTAATATATAATGTCGTATAATTTCAACGATATGTAGATGTAAACGCTTTCTTTTGAACTATACGGTGGGTGGTATATATTTTTTACAAAAAGAAGCTTTTATTATGCACTAATCTTTTATTATTATGTAATATATATAAAAAAATGTTCTGATACGATCGAGCTTCAATGACTAAATTATAAATATAAATATTTCCCGAAACGAATTTATTATATTTGAAGTATTATATATTGCAAATTTGCCCTGGATCGAGAGATTTTCGATATAGATTGCATTCTGCGTGGAAATATGATGCAGACATATTCCGTAAATAGGGTATAGATATAGAATACAATTATTTATAGAATCGGTAGTTATACCGGAGCTACAATTGTAGAAACATGGTTCATCAGACAACTTTATTTACGCGTTACCTTGCGTTTAGGGCTAGGTTGGCATTGAATGCGAACAGAACATGAATAAATGAAACAGAATTAAGTTATTTTCAACGTGTGCTCGATTTGATCCGTTGCGAGCTAGCAGAATTATTGTGATATAAACGTGTGTTGTCATAAAATATGCGCGCGCTTCAGGAATTCCAGAAATGTGTTGAAATTAAATGTTGGTTTATATTCAAGGTCGAGAAAACGCGTCGATTGTTTCAGCCTGTTCTGCTAGCATCTATGACAAATACGAAATACGCATAAACGCTCTCCTATGACACTATTTGTCATAGGAAGATTCTTCCTATGACAAATATTGTTGTATGTGTTGTGCGCATCATAAGAGTTTAGGAGCGCTATTATAAACGCAAGAAGTGAATTTCAGCTGTAAAAAAAAATTTAAGCGGTACAAAGTTGACTCGCCAATATTTGTCATAGGAAGAATCTTTCTATGACAAATAGTGTCATAGGAGAGCGTATATGCGTATGTCGTATTTGTCATAGGAAGATTCTTCCTATGACAAATAGTGTCATAGGAGAGCGTATATGCGTATGTCGTATTTGTCATAGATGCAAGCAGAACATGTTTCATGTTTGCACGGGTGCGTGCGTGACATCGTGCGTGCGTGCGTTGCCTCGTGCGTGCGTGCGTTGCCTCGTGCGTGCGTGCATTGCCTCGTGCGTGCGTGCATTACCTCGTGCGTGCGTGTATATATGAGTGAATGTGCATCCGTTGTGGTGCGTGTGAAGAGCCTGTGTTTACGCATGCATGTCTTTCATTGTGCGTTCGGGTGAGCGTGAGAGAAAGAGAGAGAGAGAGGGTGCCGGAGAAAGTGTTGTAATGGTGCATGGGAGTTTTGAAGAGTAAGTGTGTGTGTGTGTGTGTGTGTGTGTGTGTGTGTGTGTGTGTGTGTGTGTGTGGTGTGTGTGTGTGTGTGTGTGCGTGTGTGTGTGGTGTGTGTGGTGTGGTGTGTGTGTGTGTGTGTTGTGTGTGTGTGTTATGTGTTATGTGTGTGCTGTGTGTGTGTGTGGTGTGTGTGTGTGTGTGTGTGTGTGTGTGTGTGTGTGTGTGTGTGTGTGGGTGTGTGGCGTTCGTTTTGTTCGTGTCGTGGTCGTGCGTGCGTGTGTGTGTGCGTGGGTGCGTGTGCGTGTGTGCGAATGGGGTGGCCTTGTGTGCATAGGTGGGCGTATGTTAGTTTTGCGCGATAAAAGTGTGTTATTGTGGATAGTGTTCATGATCATAATTAAAAAAGTAGCTAGACGCTCATATATAGAAGGCTCTGTTTAAGTAGAAAACAGTAACAGTACAGTGTCAACCCGACTCTGTTTGGGGAAGACAATCTCTGACAGAGCTGCCGATCTTCCATATTACATACATCGATGTTTAGCAAAACAATCAGCGAGACCGACGGAAATTTTCACAATCCACATTTTCCTCTCGGCAAATATTTGAAGCTCGCATTGTAAGCAGACTCGGTGGTGGTTATTAGAACGGCGCGCGGGCGACGTACCCAAAGGGGACGACGCATAAAGACATTATCTCGCTGGCAATTTTGCGATGCGGCGAAACCGTATTGAATGGAAAATGTAAATCAAATCGGATTCTCATTAAGTCATGACGTCACCGCTGTGTACTCTCCGGCCTTGAAGGATTTGCTTCGAGCAGCCGCCTCGCTCATCTGTTTGGCTCGATCGCTTGCGTGAATGAGGTTTACACGTCCATACTAAACTGCGCTGCTTAGAGCATTCGTGAATAGATACCGCAATCATTCGTAACCATTTCCAATGAGTTATAATGAGGAATAATGAATTTCACGTTTAATATCCATAATGACTAACTTTGAATTTCAACTCTAAAAAACTCAATTCTACGCGAAATCATTTTTTATTCTGTTTTATAACCGGCTATTTAAACCGGGATAATTATCTGCGGGATAATTATTTTTACCGTGCGTACATATAATCAGGAGTGTATAATTATAGAAAAATGTCTATTATTATACACACCTGATATAACCTTGATGAGTGGGCTTCATTCTTATAACCTTGCAGATTAATTGCACGCTCTTGAAACGATGCCACGATTTCTCTACCGTAAGAGAGCGGAACGCGATCCGACAATTACGGTCGCATAGACTAAGCTAATTTCAGAATTCCCCAGCGGCCATCTCAGAGAGATCTCAACGACCTATGCAGTCAGTTCATCTACGCGGGGACCTTACCGAGAACACGGTCTCTGGCGACTTCACGGGCGTGTGATTCTCCTTGTACTTCTTCGCCTTCTTCTTCGCTCTCGCGCCCCAGTACGTGTAGTTAACGGCGGCGTACTCTAGCAGTGCAGCGAAGACGAACACGAAGCACATGACCAGGTAGATGTCGATCGCCTTGACGTAGGAGATGCGAGGCAGCGACGATCGCACGCCCGTGCTGATCGTAGTCATCGTCAACACTGTCGTTATACCTGGTAACGACGACAACAGCAGCAGCGTCGTGAGCGCGCAGAACAATGACGAGTTCTACAACGATAACATCAACAACAACAACAACAACAACAACAACGATGACGACGACGACGACGACGACGACGACAACGACGACGACGACGACGACGACGACGACAACGATGACAATAGAAACGACGTGAAACAACATGATTGTATGATTGTAGTCATCGTAAACACGGTCCTGATTCCCGAAGCGGAAGCGGAAATACGTCACAATGCGCGCGCGGGGAAACCACGTCGACGTGTGTGTGTCAGTCTGTGGCTATATAAATATATATATATATATATATATAATATACGTATATATATATATTGCAAATTTGTTTTCATGGTCAACAAACATTTTATCGTATCGGATGTTAATTAGGTGACGCGTCTCTCGTAATGAGATGGTGCATGGACGCTGAAGCTAACGCGCTTACCGAGAGCAACTCTTGCCGAAGTCGCTTCGTGGTTGATCCAGAACGAAACCCATGAGAGCATGACGATGAGGATCGACGGAAGATAGGTTTGGAAGATGAAATAGCCGATGTTTCGCGCCATTTTGAAGCTCAACGATAGCCGTTTGTAGTCTCCTGAAAGAATGTGAATTTTCCTAAATTTGCGTCACCCTCACAACAAATTGTAGCTTAGAAATTAATTGACTGACTCAAAAATAATGACTCCGTTATACAGACCGTCTTGTTTTCCATCCATCCATCTATCCATCTAGTCATTTATCTATTTATCTATCCATCCATCCATCCATCCACCCATCTATCCGCCCACCCATCCATCCAATTATCCATCAATTCATCCATCCTTCCATCCTTCTATCCATCTATTTCTATCTATCTATCTATCTATCTATCTATCTATCTATCTATCTATCTATCTATCTATCTATCTATCTATCTATCTATCTATCTATCTATCTATCTATCTATCTATCTATCTATCATATATCTATCTATTTACCTATCTATCTATCTATCTATCTATCTACTGTCTAGCTATATCGCTATCTAGCTATCTAGCTATCTAGCTATCTATCTATCTATCTATCTATCTATCTATCTATCTATCTATCTATCTATCTATCTATATATATATATCTATCTACGTGCGTGTACCCGTGTGCACGCGTGCGCTCGTGAGTGCGTGCGTAAGCACGCGATCACTCCGCCCTAATGTATGTTCAATGTAATTCAATAGTGTAACCAACATCCCATTGCGATCGTGTTCGAGCTAATAATCAGGATTCGGCCTAGTGAACCGTATATCATGTAGCCATCAGCGCAATGCTGACACGCCATCCACCTCTCTCACCGCTACGCCCCGTGCACTAATTAATGAATTGCGTTTAATCTGCTACAACGTAAACTCGGCTAATGAATTAACTCGCAATTACCGTGAACTCGAGGTAAACTCTTGACCTGCTGTTTTTCCCCCCGTATTATAAGTATTGACCTCTATGGGTCACTTTTAAACAGCGCCAATTACTCATAAGTACCTTACAGGGAAGAAAAAACACTAGCAATGGGAGACCGCGGTGGATAGATTGTGTCAGAGGAAATTGATAAAGATTTGTAATTGGCTGTTTCCATTATGCAATGCCTGCTTCGCATTTCGGGTAGCCAAATAGTGCCGAAATTTTACGTGCGTTCAGTGCGCGCGTGCGTTTTTCGTATGTGCGAACAGGCGGGGGGTTGGTGATATCTATAGGCCTACCTGTTGATAAGCTCTCTATGGTCACTTGTGTGTCAAATGCCATTATGTCGAACTGCGGTAGCTTAACGTTCATTACGCCCTTGACCGAGTCCTTCTTGCGTTTCCAAAATATTTCCACATCGCTCATCGTGTAGCCATCTGAAATTTAATGTTTTTAGTTTAAAATTATCTTTTTTTTATTCATTTTAGTTATAAACATAAAATGCGCAAAACGTCTGGAAAATAGTCGATTTAATACATCAGTTGGTTTTACACTGGCGATTGTGACATATTATAAACCGTTATCGGAACGTGTATACCAATACCTAATGCCGATTTATATATCCCTATAACGTATAGTTCTTTTTGTTATCCTGGGCCATAGAGCCTCGGCACAGTTACTGTGTGGTTATTGTTTCTGTGACACGTGTCAGTGCTTTCATAGCGGTTAGCTTTACATTGTGGGCTTGTTAGACTCACCCTATAGCTTTATAACCTATTTCTATATCAAGCATCGACACAAGAAAACCTAGACGAAGTGCATTGCACCGGAGCAGTGACAGACTACGATTTGACTCGGACTTCGATCGCATTTTTAATCATAACATTCTGTCGACAAACACATTCTTTCGCCAGTTTAAAGCGCCGAACTAACAAGAGAAGGACTATATATTCTGTATAGAGTATGGCTACGCAATTAACAGCTTGATAAGGCATCACAAAACGCTAAAACACCACGTGTACATGCGCGGTAACTTGGCAGCACACACAGAGTGTGGCTCAGCGAGTTGGTTACTTCGATGATACTCGAGTGAATAAGTCTTGAAGCCATACAGACTGCCCCCCAACGATAACTCTGACAACAGGAACAGGATGTTAGAGGTTATCCCGGGGTTAACTCTGGTGGCGTTAACTCTGGGTATAACACTGAACTGCCGCCGAACTGCCTACTATTATCTCTCGATATTCACTACTCATATCGATGTTTCGCACAGTTTGGAGTAGCGCGAATTCCTGCGAGATATAGCTTTGGTTCTGTTAATGTAGTTATTGTTGCCATGGCAACCTATTCCCAATTTCCATTTGGCATGCGGTGCCAAACGAGACGTGCGTCTTTAAACCATGTGTAAGAGACGGATTGCGCGGCTCGAAATAATACGTTGTTTGTAATATCGATTTTTAAGCTTAGCTGTCTATCATACATTAGTAGGCAGGAATCATTTAAAATCGCTATGCGGGGGCGTCCTTTCACTTGTTTCCCCCTTTCTCTTTGTTTATCTCTTTTGTCCGCTTCGACCACTCAAAAAAACTGTTGCTATGTATTTTTTCGATAGCCATCGTTGCCGTAGCAACCGAAATTCTTCTTGTTTCATAAACACAAGTGTGCCGCCAACGTCCTCGTGTTATATTACGCAAACGAGATCCACACTATTATTCTAACGTTGCGAAGAAAAATTTGCCGCGAAATCATTCTGGAAGTATAGCCAACCAATGTTTATTTTATTTGCGCCGCGTCTATTCTTGATTTTTTGCGATCCATCATATTTCCCGGCAAAATTTCGTATCCGCTGTATCCCATGTATAGTATATATGTCATTCCCGTATACGAGAAAAAGACGTAAGCGTCTCGGTGAACACATATCGCATGTGTTTCGACTCACGTCTGAGCGCTTCTGGCATCCGCACTGCGTACCTGCCTCGCTCCCATTGCAGTGTAAAAGATTCTTTACCCGAGGGTCCGTTTTTTAGCAGACGTATAAGCAAACAATTCAACATATCAGTTAAATTTACAACAGCGCGACATATACCCAGCGGCAACGCGCAACCAGCGCTTATACAAAGATAAACCCGTCCGAATGTATTTTCTCGCAAAATGTATGTATACTATCTACGATACTCGCTGCGGCGCACGCACGCATGTAGGCATCGGCCTCCCTCCCCCAGGATAACGCAAGCAATTGAGAAACGATCCGACGGCCACCAAAGGTTGACTAAACATGTCAAGCGTAAAGATAACACATGACAGCCGCAGCTCACAAGACTCTCGCGAGAGCGTCTTCGCGTTAAACAACATGAAAATCGCATTAGTAGAAATTGTGGGGCTTATGTTATGCGCGCCTCCATCGCCGTTTCTGTATTTCATATTAGCCGTGAAATCCGCGTGAGCGCGTGTCTCCACCGGTGACGTCGCCGTGAGATCTCTCGCGAGATCTCGTACCAATTAGATATGACTACGTTGTTGTTGTCACTTACAGCTTTCGATTTCCACCGTACAGTTCTGCGTGTCGAGCGGATAGTTGTGTAGATCCATCATGCACGCCAATGTAGTCGTGAACCTGCAATTACAAGCGGAATATTTATTCTAATGCAGGACGCGCGGGGGCCACAGATTGCATATTATATATATTATGTGTGTGTGTGTGTGTGTGTGTGTGTGT